CCCAAAAATCAAGTCCACCAGCAGCCTTGCTTTCGGTACTATAAAAAGACACACTGTCCCATTTTGCCAAAAGTGTTACGTTTTTTCAAGTGCATTTTTTAGTGTTGTCACACACTCTTGCAGCCTATGCTTTGGCACTTGCTTTGAAAAACATGACTGGGGCTCAACAAACTCAAGTTGTTGTGTTTGCAAGACTGACATGTATGCAGCAAGTCCTGACAATGTTGCCTTAATTCTGCAGACTGCCTGGGAAAAAAATTTTGCAACAAACTGCTCCCATTCTTGTCAATGAGGCATTAGCTACAAAAACCTAAAGGGAAAACATGTTTCAAATTTTAACTATCCTGCTAACAGCTGTAGCTTTCAACCAAGGGAATTACTTCATCCATTTCTAAGGTTGTCCCCTAATGTCAGGTATATGGTCCAGTCATGCCGTCAGTACTGAAAGAACCATTTCCTAATGTTAATGTCAGGGCAAGCATTGCTATTCAACCTAAAACCAACAATCCTACATTCATGAAAGTGAAAATAATTATAAACTTGGTTTGTTCTTGTCACAAAGTGCAGAGGCAGCAACGCACCTGGACTATCACAGCTCAGAGTGCAGATACTCAAATCTGAAATGAGTGCAAGGTTCTGGGGACCCGGGGCAAGCCAGGAGAGGACACACACGCTCCTAGGCGTGCATCCAGCATCCCCAGGGTTCTAACGCATCTTCAAGCCACGCTACACCTGAACACAGCTTTTGCAGTTGCTCCCAGCAAACATAATGTCACCATGAGGCAGTGAACCATCAACTGCCCCAAACCCCCACCACGGTCAATCAGAACAGAATTGGTAAAGAGCAAACACTGAGTGGGCAGCACTGCAGATGTCCCTCATGACCACAGATCCATGTGATGGCATCCAGGCCCTTCCAAAGCTTGCACCAGTGCACTGAGTAGGACACAGGTGGGAAGGGACACCTGAATGCCTTCCATTGAGAAGGAAACCAAAAAGCTAACAAGAACACTGCTACAAATGAGTCTCCCTGCTGTCCTACCAGAGACTCAACAGCTGAGGCTCTGTTGGCAGAAGGGCTGAGGCAAGAGGGAAGCAACATGGCAGCCTGAAGCTGCAATGTAACAAAGAGCTGTTGCAACAGGAAGAAGGTGATGGTCATCAAAAAGGCAAGGCATGGGAGATCAGCACCCTGCATCAGGAATTTTAGAAATGCAAGCAGCATTCCAGAGCTGTAATGCAAGGGTTTATGACACATAAATCATTAGCAAGCCAGGTCAGTTTAGAACCTGTCTGACTGCTAGGAAAAGGGAAACTGACCTGGGTTTAACAAGGCAGTACTCACCTCACCTCCACCTGTCTTAGAAGAGCATGTAGGAGAAAGAACCCAGAAGATGGACAATGATGGTAAAGAGAATTTTTTAAAAAGCTGAGAACTGACATATACACTAGACGTGGTGACAATCATTTAATTTTCAATAGGCTGGAAACAGAAAAGATTAGGTATATTTAAAGGATGATAGAAGACTGGCCAACATACCAAAAGACTTTTAGAAAAGTAATTTCTGACAGTTCCTTTCTTTCCAGTCAAGGGCTATCAGCTGAGAGATGGAGGGAGAAGAAACACCCCAAAGCTACAACAGCTTCACAAGTCAGGAAAAGTAAAAACTGACAAACAACATAACATAAAAGTTAAGAGATGACCTTAGACAAATCTTGATTAGAAACACAGTATGTATTTGGCAGTGGAGATGAGTATTCTACAAACAATGCAGAATTTTTCTTTCCAAGTCAAGGCTGACGTGTCTTTCCTCAAACATACACTGTTTGAAACTGGGATTAATGTGGAGACATCAAGGACAATGCTGGGCAGGGGATCGGATCAGATGGTCCCAACTGCACCTTACAACTGCATTAATTTATCACTAACAAGGAAAGAAGATCTTTATATTTTTTACTACAATGGACAAGGATAGGAATAGACAGAAGACAAAGATTCTTTCTAAATTTAAAGTCATATCTACTCAAGTTGATTCTGCTTTTGAGAACACAAAGGACTGATACTCCAGGCTGAGTAAATGCTTTCTCAAAGCTGTTTGTTCACCTCTTACTCTAAACCAACTGCATCGTTCTCAGACCCTATTTGCAGTTTCCTATCCATTTTTCCCATCCCAAGAAGCTGAGATTTGTGGCCCTCTCTTAAAGCCACCAACTGCTTTTGCAGATAAACAGTTTTGGAACTCAAGCTTCCAACGCTATCACTGCCATCAAATTAGATACCCAAGATTTTAAACAGCCCTACAGAAGGAAAATCAGAGGCCTGTACCAAATGAGAGCAGAGCAGTAACCTGGTTAAGCTCAGCAGGCAAATTCCCCTACTGGAGTCTCAAGAAGCAGACATGGGGCTGTTGTGAAATGGGCTGCTGGGGGCTAAGGAAGGTTCTCTTCCTTAGGCACCTTTGAGATCTCTCAGTAACTCTCCCAGAAAAAATCCAGAACAACCTGATTGTTAACACTGACTGTTTTTTCAGAGCTTTAAGTCAACAATAAGTAGTTAATCACGACTCTAGAAAGATCTTTCCTCAACAAAACTGAGACCCTGCAATGCTGGTAGCATTTTGCTCAGTCTGCACAGCTCAAGCACTCTGCCTCAGCACTAATGTGGGGCAGATCTGAAGTGTAGTGAAGAAAAATGTACCATGTTGAGACAAAGAGAGAAAACACGCTTAATATTTGTAACACTGTGGAACAGGCTTCTGTCACTCACCACTATCAGATTCATTCTCACAACCTGTGTTTGCTTTGCAAACCCAAATTACTTGGCAGCTGCAAGGCAGATGCTGCTCTCAAAGTACCACAAGCATTTACACAAACACACCAGGCTGTTGGTTTTCCTCAGGAATGCATGAGGTTTACACCCAGAGGCATTTTGCTCTCTAAGCGTTCTCCTCTATCCAAACAAGAGAGGGCTTCTTGGGAGTACTGCTTATTCTAAGATGATAAAACCAAGGCATTGTCCACTGCTCATTTTGAGGATGGGCCCCATCATCTTTCCCATTCAGAGGTATCCATTCTCCAGTTCCTGCAAGGCATCCAGAAAGACTTTTCTAAATCTCAGCACATGGTGGCTGCTCTACAGACAAGTCACTAATCACCTGGTTCCTCAAGCATTTAAAATTGTATTCAGGTCACTACAAATTCTGTAACAGTGCAGCAAGACTGAAAACTGCCATTTAGAAAGCTCTAGAGTACACCAAAGATCACACTAAGATGAAGGGGAGCAGGAGAAGTTCATGAATGACCAATGACTTAATGAAGGTCATGAATTCCATAAATTGAATGGACTATGATCAGAATCCCCCAAGAAAAACAGCCTGGTACTACTGACCAGAAGACTCTCAGAAAGGCCACTGTATTCTTTGGCACAGGGAGTGTTTCTATAATATTCCTTCTAGGAGATGTGAATTGGAAATTTGAAGTGAGGGGAAAACCACCACATTCCACTCAGGCCATCATCTGCTGTGTCCTTGGACTACAGCACAGACAGGAGAAAGAGCAGGATGGTTCTGGGAATCTACAGAAGAAAAAAAAATAATCAAATCTAGCTAAATATTCACTGCTGTGTCAATTCTGATACTTCTGTATGCATCAGGCACAAGTGAAAAACTGCTTTATAATTACTAAAATTCAGTCTCAATCAAGCAGTCATGAGACTGCTGGTTTGCAGGATTAAAAATCTCAAGAAAAATGTTTACTTTTCACATTCATTCTGAAGTTCAGGATCCTTAGCTCTGGTGTGTTTCAAGGTGAAACTAAGACAGCATTCTTATAGGCAAAAATCCAATTCCTCTAGCCTGTTTGTACAATTGTATTATACACCAAAAAGCAGTAATACAGAGAAGGGTAAAAACTTACAAGAAACACTATACTGACTAAATTCACCATGTATAATTATGACTTACAGAATCTCCTTGTATCTTTACAGTACCTGGTCCTCACAACCTTCTTTAAGTAGGTTGAACACGTTAAGTCACTTTGTTATATGAAGCCCTATTTATTTAATCTGTCCCAGGTGAACATTATGCTTATAAAATTTATGGAATGGAGTGGCCCGTGTCCCATCAGAAGACACTCAGCATCTCTAACAAGTTTGGCAAGTTTCAAGATTTTAAAGTAAACAAAGGAGCCCAACACATCAAATACCTACAAGTATTCCACCTTTACCCCCTAATTCCCATATACCTGCTGTCCTGCCTTCTGGCTTGGTCTCTAATAAAAAAATACACTGCTTAGGCAGACTACACTTCAGACTGTATCATTGTGCCTTTTCAGTACTGATTTTCTGCCCTGCTTTCCCCCTCATCCTTACACAAAGGGCTCCCAGCAGCAGCTCTGCCCTCAACAGTGTGGTTCTGCCCAACTGGGCATGGTGGGAACAGCCAGCAGCCATTTCCTGAGATGGGAACATCTGAGAGGGCTACGAGGGAAACTACAGTGTTCCCCTACCGTGCATAAACATGTTGCAGAAATAATATATGCTTTACTATTTAGTACTATTGTTATGAGTATGCATAATAGTATTAGTAAACTATTATACTGATAAAAAGAAGTTACAAAAACTGACAGACAAAATTCCATTGCTTTTCAGATACAGTAAGCCTAACCCCATCCCACTTGCTCCTGAAGAATCAAAGCATGTGACTCAAATGTAAACTTAGGAAGGTTAACTATATATAACTAAAGTTATATTTAACCAACTAAGCAGGGACTTAGGAGTCAGATTTTTTAACTTAATCTTTTCTAGCAAACTATGACCACAAACAGTGGTAAATTCCTCTCCAGGCTCCTGACTTAATCTTCTCTGGATTGCAATGTATAAGCCCCCCTTTGTTGGCTGCAGAATTTCCACCCCTGCTGATGTGTCAAACCCTGTGAGCATCGGGCAAAACACAAACATGCTGCACTCCATCGCTTTTGTCCTTGTTTCTCTTTTCCAGAAGATGAGAAGAGATACAATAGAGAGCAATAACACGAAGGCCAGTGCCCCCCTCCTGACCCAAAGATACCTGAGGATGGTCACTAAGGATGGACACAGCACACTCCAGGTGGATGGTGCCCAAGGAAAAGGTCTGGCATACCTCAGGGATGCATGGGGAATACTAATGGACATGCGCTGGAGATGGATGATGCTGGTCTTCTCGGCTTCCTTTGTCATTCACTGGCTGGTCTTTGCAGTGCTTTGGTATTTACTGGCTGAGATGAACGGGGACCTGGAACTGGACCATGATGCTCCACCTGATAACCACACTATATGTGTCAAGTACATCACCAGTTTTACAGCTGCTTTCTCCTTTTCCCTGGAGACACAACTCACCATCGGGTATGGCACCATGTTCCCAAGTGGAGACTGTCCCAGTGCTATTGCCCTGCTTGCAATACAGATGGTCCTGGGGCTCATGCTGGAAGCCTTCATCACAGGTAACCCTCTATATTTCATCTTTAGACAGAGTGGGTGCAACAGCTAGACTTAAGAAATGGAGCTAGAAATAAATAGTGACCATGTTGCTATTAAGCTGGTCACTACAGGATGATGAGACTTCAGCTACGTTGTAGCAAAAGTCCAACACCTTTCACTAACAAAAGACACAAATGAGGTGATACCAAGATGCAGACTTGAGTTCCAGTATTCGTTGCTAAATACTTGTGGCAGCCCCTGACTTAACATTATCAGCGATTTATTTCTTATACAATTATCTCTCAAAGTTTTCTCTATGGAATTGCAATATTTAAAGTAAATTCTTTTTCATTAAGTTTTAATGTTTACTTTTGTCCAGCTGAAGTATTTTTGTTCATCTTTAACTCTGTTTCAGAAATCCTCAGTACCTGATGTAATGACAGGTTTTTAAAGTGTCACAGCTATTTCAAAGTATTTTAAGTTATTTTCTAAAATTTTCATATTTAAAGTATTTCAATCTACTTTAAAAATACACAGGTTACTTCACTGTATATTAAGAAAGAGCTTCTCCAAGATCAGATACCACTACCAATTACAGCAGACTAGGGCAAACTAACAGCTCTCCTTCTGCTCTCCAAACATGAGGAAGTGAACAAAGATTGGAAAAAGCAGCCTTTTGGGAAAGTTGCACTTTTTAAACAAAAAAAGGGTTTGCAAACACACAGGCTAAGGCTAGGAAGCCCATGCCCACCCCAGCCTGCTTCTGCTCCTGCAGTGTTCCCCAGAGCTGGGAGCTGCAGGGGCCCAGCCCAGGCACAGAGTACATGCTCAGTTTGCTCTCTCCCCTGATGCAGGTGCCTTTGTGGCCAAGATCGCCCGGCCCAAGAACCGGGCCTTCTCCATCCGCTTCACGCGCTCGGCTGTCGTGACACGCACAGAGGGCAAGCCCCTCCTCACCTTCCAGGTGGCCAATACACGCTCCAGCCCGCTGACCAGCGTCCAGATTTCTGCTATACTTTACCAAGAGCAGGAGAATGGGCAGCTGCACCAAACAAGCATTGACTTCCACCTAGACAGCCTTACTTCAGACAAGTGTCCTTTTTTCATCTTCCCACTCACCTACTACCATTCCATCACTCCATCCAGCCCCCTGGCTGCCCTGCTCCAAAGAGAAGCTGCCCACCATTTTGAGCTGGTCGTCTTCCTCTCAGCTGTGCAGGAGGGCACAGGAGAAATGTGCCAGAGGAGAACATCCTACCTGCCCTCAGAGATCATGCTGTACCATCGCTTTGCCCCCGTGCTAGCCCGCAATGCCAAAGGTGAATATCAGATCAAGATGGAGAATTTTGACAAGACCATTCCTGAGCTCCCGGCTGCAGCTGACTCAAAGAGTCCAAGAAGGACTGACAAGGAGATCAGCATCAATGGACAGCATGCTGACAGCTTCCAGCTCTCCGAGACTGGCCTCACAGAATAGAGAGAACAGACTCTGAACTTTGTGCTTTTTTCAATGATTATTATATTAAACTTTCTGGTTCCATTTACAACCTTCCTTCCTTGCTTGCCCTGCCACCTTCTAGTGATCTTTCTCTTGTACTCCCATCCTTTTGATTACAACATGAGAGGCAGAGTAAAGAGACCTGGTGTGCCTATGTAAGCTGAGGGGAGGCCGGATTAACCACCCAGAACAAAGTCAGGTACAAGAATCACAGCACTAATTCTGGGAAATTAAAAGAGCTACCTGCTGAATGCACCAGACTATGATTAAAGTCGCACTGACCCTGAAAGGAGAGACCTCCCAAACTCCCAAAGCTGACCAATGTGACAAAATGGGACAGCAATACAAAAGAAAAATCTCACTCAAAACCAATATGGAGTCATTCAGTAAATATATTAGTTCTAGGATAAGCAACTCTGTTCATCCAAGATCCTAATTTTTCTGCTCTCCTTTGGGATACAGGGTGTTATCAGTTTTCAGATGGCTGAATTCACTCTCAGAAAATACTGCCAATCTCTCATGGCAGTGAAAAGCATCCCTGCTGTGCTTATTAAGGAAAATTGTAAATACTAACTGTAGTCCTTAATTCTGCCAAATAAGAGGAGAACATCTCAGCTCAAGACAGGTCTATGGAGACACTATCAAAAAAATCTTGATACATAAGACAAATGCCACAGTGACAATTTTTTCATCTTTGGAAACACTGAATACGTTATTTAGGAGTGGAAACCAGACTACTGTAATTGAATTAGTGTACTATTTTCACAGGACCATAGATTCCATGTGTTCTCCTCTTGCGCTGCCTGTCCCAAGTAGGCCTGACCCAGAAGGATGCACCATATACATGAGAAGTAGAACTGCATCCACTTGTATTTTATGCTTTTTAACATCAATATTTGCCTGTACACACAGCACAAAAATATTTAGAGACACCTGAATCAATTTTAAAATAAAAAATTGAAACAAACTATACAAGAGACTTCTGTATTTAAGTGCCTCATAAACCTACTGCAATTAAGACATGGTTCCTAAACAATCTAGGAAGCTAAAGGATAAACAGCATGATGGATAATCGTTTCCAAGCTCTCAACAAAAGCAGTGTCTATTATGTGTTCATACTTGAAGAGTCAAGGATCAAAATAAAGTTCTTTTTCAAAGGTAAAAGGCTGTTGCCAGAAACCAAGTTGACACAGATACCAACTTTCAGGGACACCAGTGGTCCTGCTGCCAGACATGTGGCCTCCTCACTTCATGGAGGTGGGCAGCAGCAAGAAAGCTCCTCCGAAGCCACCTGATGAGACACTGCTTAACTGAATTCTTCTCATGCCTCAAGTGTGTTCACATCCCAAGAGGGGTTTGAAAGAAAAAAAGCTACTTAGAGTCTGGGGAAACGGGAAGCAGCTTCATAGAAGCACTTCACACAGGGAGGGAAAATGAAGCAGAAGGCCCATGTTCTCACTGCAGTTTGGCTCCAGTTCCAAAATTGTTTAGATATTCCCTCCCTACAATCCAGACCTCAGACAGATTTGGTTTTATTACAGATAATCTCAAAATCTCTTTAAAATTTCATTTTCTGTAGAAGCATCCATGAATACTGGGGAATTTGCAGAGCAACACACTATCAGCATAGCCTTCATCCCTGCTTTTCTAGGCTGCTGACCCATACAGATCCCTGTTCTACCCTCCCATCAGCAGCAATAATTTCTAAGTATTTCTGCAAGCATTATTTCCACATTTTCTATCAATATCGCATTGAGAAGAGTCCTGCAAGTTAAGAACCAGTGCTAGAACAGATTCCTGTGTCACTTCTGAAATAACCACTAAGGAAAAAGATCCATGTTATGTGTGAGGTGTTGTTCTTCCCATATATCACATACTCCAGTCTCAGACAAGCCAATTGTTCTGCATTTCAGACGCATCACTTAACAGGACAGGGTTATAATCTCACCATTTAGAGCCAAAGCTATAAAAAGCTAATTTAATTTTCTGTTACCAAAGCGTGGGCTGCTTCATTTGGCTTCTAAATGACCTGAGACATTAAACTTGTCCTGTTCTAAAAATAATTTTCTATGTATAGATTTTGTTTAAAAGGGGGTACAGCAGCAATTTTAAAGGAAAAATATGTTTAGCACGCATTAAATGCAATCTTCAACTATTACATTTTGGAAGGTAAAGCTGAAGATTACTACAGGAGCAAATTAGACAGACAGACACAACCGTGCAGTTATTGCAGAACAGCTGCAGAACAAGGGGCAGACAAAGCAGCCCTATTCTTTTACAGCTCCAGAGAACTGGTGAACCATGGATGTCTCATCAAGTGCTGGAAACGTGCCATGGCCCAGATCACACTACAAGCCTAGAAAAATTGCTGATGGGCTACAAAGCTGCACTCTACACTTTGACTAGCATGGCAAGAGCAAGCTAGCAATGAACAACATCCTCTGGATGCATTTCTTGCTAGTGAGGGAGGAAAAACAAGGCAGGCAGAGGACAGGAAAGTTCAATTCACAGAAATTCAATAGCCTTTTATAGTCACTTGAACACCCTTTTAATATTCAAGTGTTCTTAACCTAATAAAAAAATACACAGTAAACAGAACTCAAGAAGGTTCCTTACTAAACATCTTGTTTTATCTACACTACAATTATTTATTACCAGTGTAGTTAGCTGGTAACTAATCAAATCCCCTCAACTACTAAGATGGTAATAGTCAAGAGGCTACACAGAAAATGAAACAGCTTTTGTGGAGTTCTAAAACAGCCATAATCAAGAAAACAACTTGTTTGTTTTCTTTGCTAATGGCCTCAGCCTTCCAGAAGCAGTTTGGAGGTCTCAGTGACGTCTGTCAGAACTATGACAGTCTGCAACAGGAACTTGCAAATACTTTCTGCATGTTCCAGTTGCTCACTGCTGATCCTGATATTGATATGAACAGATATTATGAGAATCTCTCAAGCGTGAAGTTGCCAACTGTTGTAAACACTGAAAAAGCAATCAATCTTTAACAGCAGCATACTGACCATATTTGAGAAGTCATTCTTTGTCCTTTTTCGATTTCTTGATTTTTAACTGAAGGAACTTGCACCGTCATCCATTATGAATGCCTCAAAGAGTTCAATATTTGATCTTATTATTTCTACAACATTATCACCCAGAACAAAAAAAATATGGAAAAGCTGGCAATTCAGAAAATCATGTATTTTTTGGCTAGTCCACGGCCCTACAAAAGAGCAAGGAAAAGCTGAAGTACAACAAAGTTAGAGAATAAAATCCACAGTAACAGAAGCCACTACAAGCATCTGCTAAAGCAGGTTAGCCCGCATTAGGAACTGCATGTCAATTCTCTCTTTGATCTTTATCCTCCCACTGCTGTGGCCCACTGCTACTTGGTATTAAGGTGGCACTTTTGGCACAACTGTACCCCTGTCTCACACTCCAAATACTTTTTCACTGCCAAGTCTTTATGTAACAGTAACTGTTAATCAAGGTTCAAGTTAAAACTCACCAACACCTTCTCTTCACATTTTTGTGTTCTCAACCTTATTTCTTTTTGAAGGTAAATGAGAAACGGTCCTCCCACCTATTGGGGCACCATTCTCTAGCACAGTACTATGCAAACAAATTGCTACTGATAAAAAATGTACATTAAAATTTGAGAAATGTGGCAGGTCTCTTGCCTCTATCTTACTGTGGTACAGAGCTTTCAGCCAAATAAGATCAAACTACAGGAGAAAAAGAACAAGAGACTTAAGAGGAGCAATCAGGTACTGCAGAAAGCTTCATGATGTAAGAACAAGCACACCACCCCTCACAATGAACCAGGACTTCCAACAAAGCACATGGGGACAGAGTCTTCCCTAGGAAATGGCTCACAGAAGGTGCATTCCCAAGTCCTGATCACCAGCAGCTGCTACAAAGACAACACAGGCTATTCAAGCTGGGGCATTAACCCTGATGTGCAGGCAGAAGCCACCTTCACTAAGAACACCTTCCACACTTTAAGTTCCCCTCAACTTCAACCAACATCTCCTCCTAAACTGACAGGCAATGTTTTTATCAGTCTTAGTCAGACATGTTGTACATTCCATAGTCTGGATCTGCAAGTGCTGCAATTTTATCACAAGAACAGGAAGGGGCTAAATAAAATGGAATCAGCAGTGGTAGATACTCCTTTTACATTAGTTTGTCTTTGGAAAAGATGCAGTCCTGAAATCACAGCAGTACTGATTTTTCCTATTTTCATTTCTTTCCAAAAGGTTTCCAAATACAAAGACACATGAAAAGTCTGAAGGTTCACTATTGGCATTTACAGATGGACAATCTAAAGTTATTTTTGTAACTTTCTTTTTAAGAAAAACAAAGAGGGAAACAAGCAACATCTTAGTTGTGTGTTGACTTTCAATTTAGAAAGCAGAAAAATAAAAGCATTCTTTAAAATACATGAAAACCAATTTCTACATGGAGAGAGGATTGGGAGGGCTTTGAAGGCAAACCTGGTAATGTTGGAATCCTAAGACAGGTGCCACTATGGCAATCTGGAACATTATTAAAATGGCAATTTGTGCTACTCTCACTAAATATAGGTAGCTAAGCAGGGATTAAAATACATTCCTGTTAACTTTTGACTGCAACTGATTCTCTTTCATTTTTTTGTCTTGAAATTCAACCTGTAACTGCCTTTTAGAATCCCAGAATCATTCAGGTTGGAAAAGACCTTTAAGATCAAGTCCAACCGTTACCACAGTCCTGCCAAGGCCACCACCAACCCCTGTCCCTCAGCACCACATCCACTCATCTTTCAACCACTGCCCTGGGCAGCTTGGGCCAGGGCCAGACAACCCATTTATTGAACAAATTTTTACAAGCATCCAATCTAAATCCCCCCCTAGCACAACTTGGGCTGTTTCCTCTCATCCTATCACTTGTTACTTGTGAAGAGAGATGAACTACCACCTCTTTTTCTTCTGACCTATGCATTACCAGTATGTTCACTAAGGAGGATACTTAGGAAAGACCAAAAGATCCTCTGGGTCCTAAGAAGGCAAATCTCCTTGTCAGCAAGGCTTTTCTAGTACAAAACCTCTCACTGATGTGGTATGTGCACATGGAAACATACCACAGAGAAAGAGCAAGGTCATACCAGCAAACAATCCATGGATGATCTCTCAAACAAGAAAACCTTGCACTTGCAATATAAGTTGGCAGAGGAGAATCTGAATGCTCTTACCACTCCCAGAACAGAGTGGGTGTGTTCCAGCTCCAAGATGACAACACACTCTAAGTTCAGATGAATGGTCAAACAGACATACTGCGGCAAAATTAAGGATCCACTGTTCTGCCTGAATGTGGCCAGTGTCAAGTATTTAAGAAAGAATAGGAGAGGAATAGCAATAACCAGATAACCTGAATGGACAGAAGATTTGTATGATGACTTGAACTAATTGGACAGACAATAATCCCATCAGCATGGGAACTTCAAAACATTGCTCTTGGCATCTACTTCACACCAGCCAGCATTCAAAAAATTAACAGTTCACATGACCTAGGTACCAACTAGCACAGGCCAGGAATGTTTCAAAGCTACATTGGAAAAGCAGATTGCCACAGCACACCTGTCACTTGTTGAAGACTCCTGTCACATAGGTACAGGAATTTGGTTCCAGCTGTAGACATCACATCTTCATTAACAAACAGAACCTACTTCCTGAAGACTTTTCTTACCTAAAACATTTAAATGTCTAATAGTGAAAACAACACAGAATAAGAAAAACACTTTGAGAACACATTCAGGTACCCTGGCACAGCATCATTCATCTTCTTTCAGCAATATTCTTGAGTAATAGAAGTTTTATGTACATATGGGTCCCTTCCCCAACATTCACCCTGCTCCTCCCTCCCATTTTCTGCCCACATGGTAACAAAACCATACCTGGATCTTTTCGCCCTGGTTTTTCAAAGCGTCTGTCTCCCCTAGAAAGGCAGAACAGAAGTTTCAAATAAGGTTTTGGAACTACTCCACTCTTGTTAGGTATGGTGGGCGTTTGCTTTTTTTACTTGGTAGGGGTTTTTTTTTAAAATCAGAGCTTGGTAGACAGCATCTTTAAAGGTCCAAGTGACAACTGAAATTTTCAGGAACACTGATAATACGCAGCCTGCGGCAACTAGGTCTTGAAACATACCCCCAGTAACATTGAGACTAAAATTGAAGTGCATCTTCTAGCAATCCATATTTTTAAGCATCATTTCCACTGCAACTGCCATAATTTATTTGTAGTTCCTTCTTCCCAGGAACTCAGCAGAAAAATTATTTGCAAAGATATTCTTCTACTTGCTCCTGAGTTACTAGAAACATGACTGTGTTCAGTCCATCTTAGAAGCTCAAACACTCCACTCACACCTCATCACCTTTCCTCAGTGTTTTTATGGAGTCCAAAAGCACAAACAGAAGCTAGGCAGATGTATGTAAAAAATTTGAAGGGCTGGAGTTCTGTTACCTTTCCTCCCAACTCTGTGATCTGTGCATTTCCCTGCCCCCTCCTCGCCCAAATCCACCCTCCACTTCATCAAAACTTCTTTGGTAGAAACCGCTTTCTCCTCGGCCTCTGCCTGAAAAGACAAAAAACACAAGTGTTTGTACAAATAGTAACAGAAGTTGAAAGAATCAGGTAGGTTTCCTTTTCCTAGTGTCCTCGTGAACTAATCTTGCAGTATTAAGCCTCAGTGAAAGTATCTAGGGCAAAGGGAAAAAGGAACAAACACTGAAGAAAGAGTCTTATGTAAAAATTCTTATTGAGAAGCACAAGATCAGACAGAGCAGGCAAACAATTCTGAAATAAAGACTATGCAGAAAAACACAGAGAACAGATACTTACCCAACAAAAATTGCCAAACAAGGATGCATTGTTCACAGAACATCCACACAGTATGTGTGTACTTAAAAAGCAATCTGAATTTTATGAGTGTAACTGTGGAATCCAATATAATGGTACTCATAATTAATGCTGTCAAGGTTAATAAGGGAGAAAGAAGCTTCACCACTATTCAGTTCTAGTGATTCCCAGGAGAAATCTCCCCCAGCAGCAGTAGGGAGAAAAGAAGGATCACAGGATGAAGAGAGGCAGGACAGCAAGAACCATCCCAAGAGCTACAGAATAAAAATTACCCTCCTGACTTTTTCAATGAATGATTCTCTGTAGGTAGATTCTCTACCAAGCATCAAGCTTCAAGCCAAAAAGTAAAGCATCTTGAAGCACATCTCCAGTGTTTGGGTAGGTGTGGGGTGTTTGGTTAAAAGAGAGTAAAAACAACACCCACACACTTCCCGAGCAGAGCTTCAGTAGAGCTCTCAGCACTGGTTAGTGAAGTTTCCAGGTCTACCAAAAGATAAATACTGCTTCACAAAGTGCTACAGCAGGAACATGGGAGGGTTTTTATCAGCTAACTTACAATTTCAAGGCTCTCATGGAAGGAAGACAAACCAGTGAAACACCAGCTAGTGGCCAGGATAACCTTGCATATAGACAAATGCAGTCTCTACAGTCAAGTCTAAGAACCCAAAAAGCACCTGATAAGGGGAATTCTTGGCTGTGAAACTATCACAAGTGTCAATTCTTATTTCTCTCTTCCTGGCTTCAAGAAAAACACCTGGTACAAACCTGGCAAGGGATCTGGATGAATACAGTCAGAATGACCAAATGGAACAGGAAATCAACACCTTGAGAATGGACTCTGCAGCCTGCTGAAGTAACAGTGACCAGACTCTATCTAAAATCTAAAGACACCAGGATACATCAAGGAACTGTACATATTTCAGTGAAGAGAAGCTCTAAAAAACAGAAATAAGGCAGTCGCAACAGTTTTTCTACTATTCTGTAACAAATCTCTTAAGGAAAAAAAGCTTCCAAGCAGAGAAAAAGAAAAGTGATCTCAGGCTCCTCAGATACAAACTGATTCTGGGTCAGGCAGCACAGGTTACAGAGTGTAGACAGAAGCCACAAAGTTTGTACAATTTCTCCTGCTGCTTCAGAAACAGGATTTCAACATCCTCTTTGGACAAAATGATCCTGTTCCTAGCACCGGCAAAGCAGTTCAGTGTCAGGCCTCCTTGTCACAGAGATGTGAGCTCCCTTATCACCCAGTTTTGGGGGTGCTTCAAGTTCACATGCAGACTGGCCAAATCCATACAAGAGAAATACACTGAGATTTAATGAACACGGAGATCAGATCTGGCCCAGAAAACGCACCAAGCTGCAAATGTCTGGAAACTGAGCGTATATGTGATGTTTCTTCACCTTTGTATTTTGACACAGTTCTTAGTCTCTCCCCAAGGTGTCTTCTTTTGGCTATTGCTAGAGGAAGACTATTGAGTGATTTATTGAGTGAAAGGAGCCCTTGCCTCATCCAGTACAGCTGTTATTACACAGGTGGGGAGAAAGGAGCTGACTCAACACTCAAGGCAGGACAGGAGATTACCACCAGACCTATACCTGTACAAGAAACACAAATACCTTCACTGTGGTAAGTCCAATATTAGAAGGTTGACCATAGTCAAGAGTGCAAAGTAAGTTGCAAAGGCAAGAAACAGTAAAAATGTGATACAATATCAAGAGCAGCACAATGTTTATTGAGTTAAGGCATTATGGGTTCCCTAAGATCCTGGAAAAGGACTCCAAGCTGTTATTCTCCACAAAGAAGTAGAGAATAAAAGTCCAGGGAAGTTTCAGCATCTCATGCAATGGCAACCTTTGCCTAATTTCTTCACTACAGGAAAGCTCCCTTCCTCTCACAGGAGCTAAAGCAAAAGCAGTTGAAAAGAGAAAGTCGCAGGCAGAGTCAAAACAGAACAAAGGCACTGACTCATCCTGTGTCTCTGAGGCAGTGGAGGTGGAGAGCTGCAGACACTTCTCCAACAGAAACAAAACCAGTTCTCCTTTTTCTGCTCCTTACAGTGAGTGACAGCAATAACTGCAGTGCTCCCGTTGCAGCGTGAGCAAACATGAACCACACACTGACTCCTGACAGCATACACACAACTACAAGAAGGCTGGTGATATGGGAGATTTCATCTGCAAATAAACCAAATGTCCTGTATAAAGGACAGAATCAGTTGTTTTAATAGCAGCATGGCTCACAGCAGCAGGATGTGAAACCACTCTCCACTCATCCCTCTCTGCTGTCATGGTTCATCAATATTTCAGTTGTGCTCAGCCAGTAGAACAGTCTGAATTAAGAGATAATCTCAGCAATTCAGTGTAAGGCTGCCTGTGGGGCCCGGCCATGCAACTCCCCGCTGCACTGATACCACACAGGACCAGGCAGGCCCTAGGGAAGCCACCCGTGCCTTGGCTGTGGCGTCAACCTTCTCCCCTGCCTTCTCCAAGGAACACAGCCCAGGAGCAGCAGCAGGACATGCCCACTGCGCAGCACCCTGTGCAGATAAACCTGCCACCTCAGAGCCCAGGCAGAGTACTGCATGAGGAGCATCCTGCCCTGAAACTGATCCTGCCAGGCTGCAGAATATAGAGAACTAGTTACGGAAAACTGTGGTGTGCAAAGTCAGTTATCCAGCTTGTATTACATACCTAAGTGTGGCCTGGAAGTGCACACTAGGACAGAGCTAACACTGATACCAGAATGTAGGAAAAATCTTGAAAAGAGGATAGAACTGCATATATTTAAGCACACTGTTTGCCATTCTGTGCCTGCAATTCTTGGCTTTTTTTGTGGCTAATAAATGTAGAACAACATGCTTCTTTTAAATAGAATGCTACTTAAATAGAATGCTGCTTCCAAAAAAATGCCTGGCATATAAGGAGCAGATTTCCCAAGTGTAGAAGTTGCATGAAGTAATAAGCGCAAAGTCAATAGAGGCCAATAAACCTTTCCATTTCAGAACTGAATGGAGCAGCTGTGCCATTTGTATCTCAGTAATTCCTGGAAAATCTCAGAAAGAGGATCTCAATCTACCAGATAATGTAATTAACACAGCCAAAAGTCTCCAGCCTAAAAAACAGAAGTCTAAATTTAAGTTAAAAAATACAAGACACAAGCAAGAGGGCCAGAAGCAGCACACAGTCATTCTAATTGTCATGTTAAGAAAAACCCAATACAACAAACAAATTATTGCATTACAGCATGACTGACATTTAGGATCTAGGATGACAGCCATAACAGTATGTAAGAGCAGGATAACTGTGACTCAGCTACTGCTGGTCAGGTATGAGAACTTTCCACTTGCACACCACTGACACAGAAAGCAGCACAGACCGACCACAAAGGGGAGAGAGGGTGGGAGGGGAAAGAGCTCTAATGGGAAGGAAAGTACCCTTCATAAGGGCCTTAACTAAAAAGAAGAACAGCTACAAAACAAGGTGTCTGTAAACTCAGAGCCCATTCCAGGGACTATTTAAATCTCTCCTCATCTGAGGCTCTTATTCATGAATGTTGACATTCCAGTCCCGACAGCACAAAGCTCAGGGCTTAACTGCACACCACAGGGAGCTCCCAGGAAAACAAGTCAATTAGAAAAAAGGTCACGTGCCAGCACTTGGTTTCTTTAGAGACTGTAACTTCAGAGCTAAGTCGAATGGCTTGGATTTATGTCTCCACACAAGACACGTATGAGTTACAGCAGTTGCACGCTGCAGAGGGTTTTAAGGGTAACACCAAGATGTATTGCAGCACAGCCATAATTACAAAAAAAAAGCCACTTCCACACAGGAATCATTTTCACATCAGCTAAATGTAATGACTGTTAGGAAGACTGTGGGTGACAACTAAGAAAACATTTACAAAGTGTTAGGCTGTAGTGATAAGTATCAATAAGCACAGTTAAGAGTTCTGACAGTAACTTCACACCAGCTCCCTCACCATGTCTGCCCCTGATTCCCTCTCACACTCCCCAACACCCAAACACAATTCGGTGACTTTTGCCTCAGTGAGGGAACTTAAGTAACAGACCTAATCATACATGCAAATTCTTCCTGAAGTTACTGTTGTGCAAATGACTTCAGGACAGTAACCTTATTTTGCTAAAGCTGAAGCCCAAATGTGATCAGCAGCAGCTTTGTTGTGCACAATGATGTGATGTTCACAAAACCCACCAGATAACCTCTTGAACTCAGGCAATTGTGCAAGGCAATAGAGAATATATTTTCCAACTGTTAAGTGAAGCAGTTCATTTACTGCATAAACTGTGAGGAAATTCCAAGTCCTCTTCATTGTAACTTGGATAACCAGAATGGCATTTAAAGTTTGCTACTTGCAAGCAACCTGTTCATTTTACAAGTTAGCAGTCAACAGTCCTACACTGAGCTTTTCATAACTAGCCATTAGAAACCAAGTCCTCAACTACAGAAACATCACATGTATAATTCTGAAAAAAACTACAACTTTGTCCTGGCAGAAGCCCTAACTTGTTTGCTGAGATATAGAAACTTTGGGAAGACTGATCAGGACTAAATTCCAACACTAACTGCTCATGGGAAGAAAAGAGGAGTGGAAGAAACAAACAACACCCCAGATCAATGAAAAGGAAAGCTCAGTAATTCACTATTTCAAAATGAGGAAAGGTAGAGAGACGTGTCCTCATCCAGTTCAGTTTGCAGGATGACAGCAGCTTAACAAGCACAGTGTATGATTCACACAACTTGAGAGAAAGATCAAATGAGGATGAAAACAAAAATAAGTGAAGAACACTAAGTTTGCAAAGTTCTTGAGGTAGTATTTCTTAACATACATGTAAACCAAAGTATGAAAAAAAGAATATATGCAGTAGAAGCTTTCAAATAGTCTTAATACCACACATTTTAAGTTCTGTCACTGAAACCAAATTTCACAGCCAAATCTCCACGCATACAAATAGGTTCAATAATAGAATGACTGGATTAGAAACCATATTCTGCCACATTTAACCTTGTGACCCCACTGAAACTAGCAGAGGTAATTAAAAAGCAACCAGCTGCTCACTGCATAAGGATGACATCCACTGTTACTGGCATAGCAAAAAAAAAAAAAAAAAGGGAAAGTTTGACAAAAGAAAAATAAAGGGAGTTTGGCAAATTAGAAACAGTCTTGAGATTGAAACTAGAGCACACTAGTGGTCATCTGATCTCAAATCACTACATTTTAAGCAGCACTCACTTCATTTGCAGAATTAAGCTTTAAGGCATCTAATAAAACAGCAAATACATGCATTCCTAGAATAAGCGAACCATGGATGGCAGCAATGCCACACACGTTAAAACCACACAGCAGAAAAGCAACTGCTTTCAAATGCACAACAGAAATGTAACATGGTACAAAATGTCACCCCACACTTGTACACGTGCACATACTGTTTGTTTTTTTAATTAAGCCCTAAGCTTATGGGCAAAGACAATGCTAAATAAAGAAGGGAAGTGACAGGGAAATCCAGAGACAGGGAATCCTTCTAAAAGTTTACATGCATATGCATTAGCCGAGAAGCAACTGCAAGAGGACAGATTGTCATCTCCAAATATCTGAAAGATGTAAACCAAGGAAGAAGCAGGTTTAAGGAGTGAGAGCAGAAACAAGAGAACAAATATAGAGCAAAATTCTGGTCAAGTATTTAATCACATATGGAAGTGATTTCTGAATATGCTATTTAAAATATCACTACCAAGGACATTTAGAATTAAATTAGAAAGGACCCTATGAGAAACCTCACCAAAGTACCTGCAAAGACACAGGTTAAATGATTAATTACTCCTGATGACATTTCCAAGCTATTAGTTTCTAATATTCTAAATGTAACCTATAATATTTATATATAAAAAACCCAAAAAAAGTGTTCACAGCACATTGAAAGGGAACTGCTAAGATAAATTCTGGATTTAACAATCTCTTTTGAATCTAGTGATATTGCTTGAGGACATTTTCTCAATTAATTTGCAAATGTTTGAAGTGATCCAGAACGAGACAGCAACTACAGTGATGCACTAAAACTGGGAAGACTCAAATTTCTCTCAAATTCAATTGCATCTTTCCATTAACATTTTCCTGTTTATTCTCAGGATGTTGATACATAAAAATGACTTTTCAGAACTCTGAACATCACCTTCTACAATCTTGATTTTTTACATATGTCTGTGGATTCTTCTCCCCTTTCCCTATAAATTTTACATAAAGATACAAAACCAATTTATCTCTAACAATTCTGAATGAAACAATTTCCTATCTCATGTCAAAACTACTCCTCCTTTTTACCTGATCTAGTAAAAAAGGTCCTTGTGCACTGCAGGGGAACTGGACTAGATGACTTTTAGAGGTCCTTTCCAACTCTACACAATCCATGATTATGATTTTGCTTTCCACCCCCACCAGTCTGGTGGTACCACAGGCACCAGACGTGCACTGAAGTGAGCAGAACAATCACAACAATACCCATTCTCTCACAATATCTTTTTGGAAAGGTTTCAAAGTCTTAAAGGAATAGAAACTTGGCATGAGAAAATCTTCCGATAACCAAGCTCTAACATCTTTCACAATCTTTCACCTGAATCACCTGCATCCATTGCAGCACACCCCACTACCAGCTCACCTCGACCTCTAGAGGAACTTCGACCTCGAGGAGCCCCTACCACCGTTCCTCCTCCACGTCCCGTCAACCGCAGGACAGCAGCACTGTTTACAGACATGGAGAAATTTCTCTGCCAAGAAGAAGAAAGAAGCAAGGTGATATTCTATTAAAAAAAACCAAAAACATAAACACTTACTATTATCCTAAATTGAGATTCAAACAAGCTTTGCTTTCCTTGCATTCATTACAAATTCTCCACAACTGACTAACAAAGAGAAGCATTCCTCAGAGCAGCTGAACCAAGGATCTTGGTCAATATTTGTGCTTCCAAGTTACTTACCTGCCATTTCCATGCTCTAAAGGCAGCAAGTGGGAACCTACTGCTCTCTTACCTGACACCATTAATTAATACCAATTCTAAACTTACTTAAGCAAAGCAGGAACATGCAAAGAATAGAATTTGAATAAAACTATATTCACCAATGTCCTTGGCAGAAATGTCTGGGTTGCGGGTTTTTTTCTCTCAGTGTATCATAGGAGTAACATACTTTGGGGAAAACTTAAGTTTATTTAAGACTTCTGCAATTTAAGTGATACTCATTTTCATGAGGGTAAAATTCAGCTTTATTTTAATATGAAATAATTGCTAAAGAAAGCTATTTCGATAAAGAATGGATAATTATAACCCACTCTGGCCCCATTCTCTAACTGCAGATAGTTGCAAAACTAGGCCAAAGAATAAAGGATCCTGTTCAGAAACATCAACAAGGCAAACCTGACTTCACACACACTGTCTGAATGCAAGTATTAAATCATTAGAATGTAAAGGACTCACAGCAGCAGATACATGAGCCTTCTTGATAGGAACTTAAAGCAAAATTGCTTAGGTGAAACCATCTGAATTCCTAGGACTTGAAGGTCTTCAGAGAACACTGAGACAAGCAATTATATACTGTTCAAAATCTAAATGGCTAACATAAAAAGACATCTGCAGGAGTTTCAACACACTTCAGAATCAAGCCTAACTGTTTGACATGTTCTTCTTAGAAGGCAGACCTCCCTTCCAGAGAGAACTGGTCACTAAGTAGACTCAAGGTGGGAGAAAAAAAATCAAGTCCTGCCTGGCAAAACAGCAAGGTCAGCCTCCAGTAAACCTGATTTTATCTTCCTAGTAAAGTTTAAAGCATCCATTTCAACAGCAAGTTGAACTGAAACATCTTCCTTTGTCTCTAAGCAAATCACCACCTTTTCTGCTGTTGATACTTCTGCTTTTTTTGTGAAGTGGTGAAATATTTTATCACGGAAACAACTTTAAGCTATTTATCAGATTGACTGTCTTGCCTACAAGATTCCTCCCTTTTGGTGTCTTTTTTTTTCCAGTAAGAAAACAGCTATCTTGCTTCCTTTCCCAACTTATTTTTAATTTGACTTGTTTGCCTAGTCTCTGAACAAATCCTGCCTCCCCTCTGTAGAGCCTGCTGTGGGGAAAATGCAATCCCTGCACCGTGCAGAGGGACAGGAATCCAGAGGGTAAGGTCAGTAACAAATAAGCAAAACACACCCTGTTATTGATGAGTCTGTTACTTCAGTGTCCGTCCCTGACAACACACACCAAAAGCAACACTGCCCCAAAATAGGGCCCCTTTAGCAGCAATGAAAGATGTCCCCAGAAACAGACATCAGAAACACCTCCTATGAGGACACACAAGATGCTATTTCAGCAAGAGCTTGAGGCTCCTTTACTCCACAAGGATGAAGACAACTGAATTCTTTCCTCACACAACCAGGAATAAGGGCAGGATGGCTATTATATGCCTGGCTGACCACTTCCTGGGCTTGCTGCCTGAGATTTTCCTGTCCCCACTGGATAATGGGAGCAGGGCTAAGATTTCCCATAAAAGCATATTCTCCATCTCAGTTACCTTTTAAGACTCTGACATGAAATGTCCACAGTATATTCACACAAACTTAAATATGACTGCTGATTAAAAGCTATTAGCAACTTATGCCAAAGGACAGCATCCTAAAAAGAAATATGAATTCTGAAGAGGAAGGAGTTCTGGAATAGGTGAAGAGGATATGCCAGAATACCCAGGCACAATAAAACAATGTAAAACTCAATAAAATACCATGGGGCAAGGAGGACGGTCTGAAATAAAAACTAACACTGACATTCCCCACCCCTGCAAAAATTAAACTATACTAAAGTCAATAAATACTCAGCTTTCTATTAGAAAATAAACTAAGAAAAACAATCAAACCACAGTATTCTGAAATAGGAAAAGTGCTAAGAAACATGACAAACCAAAGAGCAACTTCCAAATCAGAAGTTCTGACAGCCATAAAGAAGCAATCAAAGGTCAGGCATTTACTCAGAGGGGGTCAGACCTTCCACACTTCTCCAACGACCACCAAACTGAAGAAACAGAACTTGGGACATTTCAGAAAGTCCAGTCCAAACACTGGAGATAGTGTCACTGATTTTAAAGTGCTGTGGCCTTAAAAAATAGCTAATACTTCCCAGATGATGATCGTAGATTTAACAAGTTGACTGTCTGCCATCAACAGAACATGTTATTGAGCATGAATGGCATTTAAACTTTAACACAGCAGGCTTTCGTAATTTCTTTCCCCAAGACCTACAAGTCTCAAATTTTGTGGTTTTTAATGTAGGCATACTTGTTATTTTGCTTTTACCTTGATGACAATCTAACTTCTTAAAAAAGGATACAAACCTGTTCTTCTTCTGTAAAAGGTACAAGTGCCAGTGGTGGCAGGGGCTCCTCTTGTAAAATAGGCAGAAACTCCTTATCCAGAAGGTCTGAAGGTATCTGTACCAAAGGAAAACAGCACACAAATATACCCAAGTATTTCCATTTCAGGGATGATGCCACATACTTTGATTTACAAAAAATGTTTATTCTGCCAACTCTGTCTCTACCAATCCAGTACACTAACACTTCCAATAACATTTACTGGGTTTACTGGGTGTAACTCCACTGCAAATTTAGGCCTCCCAAAAAAAAAATTCCTCCCCACAACTGTAATATGTAAAGTATCAGGATTGTACACATCAGAATTCAAACTTCCAACAACACTGCAGCTCAAATCTGAACCAAGTGAAATTTCACCTGATAAATTAAGTCAAGGAGAAGTACTCCTTTAACTTCAACATACTTTTGTAGCTAGATTTTAATTTATATATTAACAAAACAACTGTAAACAGCACAGAGAATGCATCTGATTTAAAGTCAGCATTTCCAATTTACTACCAAGGACAGCAAAATAAAAAAGTGTGAAGCTATAGGTACAGATTCATTGAGGACACTGATGATTTAAATCAAAATAAATTTTAACACTATTTTTTAATCAGTTCATCAGATGGAAGCTTGATCAGCAGATGTGACCTTGATATGTGGAGGAGAAGCTGCAATTACAGCCAAGTGAGCTCTCATTAATCCAACAGAGAGCTATTTCAAAAATATCTAGTTCAATAGTAGGGATAAAGACTTTTCCCAATTTTAACTGACGCAAAGCAACCTAGGGTTTTCTTTTTTCATTTGGGTATATGCTAGTAGTCTGCTTTCAGAGTCTCTTTTAATCAGAGATGCAACTTTGCCTAATCTTCAGCCAGCAAAGACTGAAGATGACACAGTGAAAAAGGACTAGGCTACAAGATAGAGCTTAAAAACACCACCTCTAGTAGTTGACTAGAAACAAGTTTCAGGACAAGAGTCCACTCAGTCTTGGGAACCAGAACTGCTCAACACCACAAAACATGTCTATCAAAACCAAGACATGCTTTAATAGGAACACCCTTCTGGCCAACACACAGGCAGAAAGTATTCCTTGGGACCCTTCACAACCATCACAGAGCTTCTGTCACACAGGTCAGGAACAGGTTCTGAATCAGTCACAACTGTAGAGGTCTCTGCATCATCTGATACAACATACACAAATTGCAGAAAACAATTATCTCCTCCAGGCTCACTCACTCAAACATAACATCGAGGTTTACATTGCAGCTTCTCACAGCAGAGCAGGATAACTCTGCATGTTTAAGCATGGCTTTAAGCTATAACACACTTCACAGCTTTAGAAACATCTCTGACATCCAACACCTTTGAATCCATGTCTAAACAATGAAGGGCTCCCAGCACTGTATGAAACGTCAGCACAGTCACGGCAGGGTAGGAACAAGGAGGTCTGTATGTTCATCTATATGCCAAGCTAAAGGCATCACCTGACATCATTTCTTGCTGTCCCTTCCTGACTCAAGGGCAAGGCTCTGAGAGTGATTTGGGAGCCTGAAACCATGTGCCTGCTGCAACAATAAACCAACCTCTGTCACCATCTACAGAAAAACCTCAAGTTTACAAATGCAGAATGTACAATTCATTTGCCTGAAACATTCTCTGAAACATGACACTGAGAACCTGTTTGAAATGAAACCAGAAAGAAGCTCTTGATTTTTTACACTTTTTTGTATCCCACATGCTAGACTGCATTTGTGTCCAGAGTCCCAGGGAACTGAACACCATGAGGACTGCTCTCATGGGAGCTAGTTATCTGCTGAAATGAACTACCTTAAGTCAAGACAAATAGGAAGCTCTTGCCTTTTTTCATATAAATACAATTCATTGCCTTTCAAGCTGAATCAAGAAACTGTTTTACACTATATAAAATCCTACTAAGGGAAGACAAACTGCACAGCTGCAAGGGACTGAATATGACAAGCAGGTGTTTTTTTTTAATTCTTAGGGGATACAGGAAGTTGCCCCTGAAATGGCAAAAATAATCAAACATAATGAAGCAGCAAGAGTGGGATCAAATAAGAACACACACAAAAACCCCACAAATGGACCTCTTTAGTTCTTTGCCAAGGGGTGGACAATGTCCATAATCACAACACACAAACACCTGTTCCTAATGACAAGCCTGTCATCAAGAGCACACACACCAGGCCTTCCTCCTCTTCCTGCTCACCTTGTTATCCTTTAGAAAAAGTGCCAACATTTCTTCTCTCCCATAGCGATAGTCTGCTAGTTTGTACTTTGGCAAAGCCGGAGACAGAGGAGGGGATGTCACGCTCCCGCCACTGGACAAAGCTCGCAGCCTGAAATCAAGCAGAAAAGCAAAGAAAACTGAATTGAGGAGCATGGGTCGTCACCTCTGCTATCACCCATCTGCACATTTCTGCACTTTTACAATGAAATAAATCCAGTTCTGAAAATAAAGGCAAGGCATTAACAGCATAACTTCAAAACTCCAAAAATTGTTGCTTCAACAGAAGAGTGGAAGAGCTTCCTTAATTTTCCCATAGCCAAGAGAAAGGAAAAAAAATATTCCCAACAGCACATCAAGGAATTCAACTCATCCCCTGGAAAACTCTTATGTTGATTATATAGCAAGCTAATTACATCCCTAAAGCCTTGACTAAGCCATTTACACTGGCTGCACAAAATTCAGTTCCATGCATATTAATGACTGCAGTTTCTATTTGCCAAGTAAAATTCTTACCACACTGGGGACACTGCAGCAAATACTAAGGAAAAAGTTTATGCAGATGTTTAGCAAAGTACAACAAAGTCCAGGACAGTAAAATTTCCAATGAGGTTTCTTCCTGTGTCTCCAGAATCTGACTCTACTACAAATTCCTTTTCCTGAACTTAGAATTCATGGCATTTGTCAAGGAGTGCATACATCATTTAGCTTGGTGTCTCAATAAAAAAAATCTCTATGTACATGCAATACAGCCACACTTTACATCAGAGGCATCTCAAGCAGTAACCTAACTTATGATAATAAACATGCTATTGAGTGTGGTCCCATTCCACACAGGTCAGCTACTCAACCTCTTGCACACGGTATCTTTAAGGTTGTATCACATTATTCCCACACTACAGGTGGATTAGTCCCATTCTGCACAATTATTTCCTCAACTACCCAAATATCCTGCATTTTTAAGTTTGATGGATGTATTACAAAAGGACATGTGCCAAGAAACAAAACCCAGACCACTTTCCTACATTCTCCTTGATGTGCACCTTAGACAAGTAAAACAATGAAAATTACTCCCAACAATCCCAAGATCCTTGGAAAGGAAGGTACTCAAAACCAAAATGTGGATTCAAAGGCTACCTTTCACCTAATTATTGAAACATGCTTTGATTTGTTTTATTATTATTATTTGATCTTTAACGGAAGAAGTAATTTGCAAGTCAAATGTTTCTCTTCTTTTTTTTAGCTTGGTGCCACCCAGTGGCAGTTTCTTCACATACCACTTCCAACCCCAAAAGCGCCAGGGGAGGCATTATCCAAAGGATTAGATGTCTCAGTGTCATGTTCAACTCGAATCCAGACCAAACGAGACCAAGTTTCACTACGAAGTGATAGAACAGCACACATGACAGACATGACTATGCTGCAACCCAAAAGAATAATTATAAATCTCACCATTTTATGCCATTATTCCTGTAAAAATCTAGTAAATCATTAAGCATGAAAGCATATGTTATTTTTCAATCAAATCTGATTTTTAAACTCAATGCAGACTGAAGTCCCCTCACTATGACACAGCAATCAAGTTACTGTTCAAATCTGTGCTTTTTTTAGAGCTGACTTCCTCCTTCTCTTTTTTTAATATAACTTTGGCTTCCATCCATCAATGAATCCAATCATGTCTGTCTCTTACACTGAAGTGCACTCCGGCATATCTGCCTGGTGGGTGTATTTATAGACAGTGATACAAGTCATTCTTTAACCTTCTTTTAATCTAGCAAAATAGCCCAAGCTCCCTCATTGTTTTCCAGGCCACAAATCATGGCTTATTTATTTGCTGAATACTTTCCAATTTTTGTGCATTGTGTATAAAAATGTGTCAGAAAAAGTGAATACATTATTCCAGTAACAGCCTTACCACATGCTACGCAGTAACCACTCCACACTCCCATTTACACACTGAAGGATCACATCACTCTTCAGAAACCTCACCAGCCAGAGCTCGTGTTTGTAACAGCAGCCATCAACACTCCAGCAAGGAGCTGGGACAAACACTGAACAACAGTCACACCTGGGCAATCACTCTTCAGGAAAAGCCAGAACAACACATGCCAGTCAAGCCTGAAAACCAACAGCGACACAAGGTGGTAACACCAAGGATACTCTTCAACACCATCACTATTTCTCCTGACACTTCTCAGTGTGCACACAGAAGACTGACATAAAACACACCTGGACCATGTTCCATACTGATTATTTTTAATACTGGAAAAAAGCTTGCTTAGCTATAGATTTAAGTCAAATAAGGACAGTATAGGAACTTTCTTATTAACACGTACCACATGGAAAGACCAACATACAATCCTTCCTCACTTACTGTGTGTACACTCCCAAGACCACAAACACTGTTCCCACGAACCTTCTGCATGACCACAACACAAAACCCAGCTCATTTAATACATAAAGCCAATTTACAAAGCAAAGACTGATTTTATGTGAGTGCTTTCATTCACAGGCCAGGGACTGAGGAGAAGGGGTATGGAACAAAGGCATCACATCCCATTCAATCCTATACTCAATTAAGTCCTGAATGACAGAAATTCACAGGTTTTTAACATTATAGACAAAGTTTCAGAGTTCCACAAAAGAGAAAAAACTTACCATTCAGGCCCAAAGTTAAGTGTCTGAGTTTCTGCTGCCATTTTTTTCCTGTTCTATTCCTTTTTTTTAAAAAGCGTGAACCTGAAAAAGAAAAATGTTTCCTATGAAAACAACAGGAGTGATGTAGCCCTTCATAAATTACTTCACAATACAAAAGCACATCTGATCAGGCAAGGAACTAAAAAGGGGATTATGCGGAACACAGTTTGTTGGCTTTTCTTAAGACATCAGTTCCAGCTCTAATACAGGAGTAACTCCATCAAGATCTCTTACCTAAATTTCTCTTTAACAGCACAAAAAGGACACTGGATCAGAGCATCTGAAGAAACAATTTGTTCAAACAGTCCCTTTTCAAATCAGTGATTATCACAAGACAACCAAACACAGAATTTGATGTATAATCCTCTTCTCTAAGAACAGTAATGCTTAATTAACAGAATTGCAGCTTCCTGACAATTACAAGAGGATAAAAACCCCACTAGAGTTACAGCAAGAAAGATTTGCCAGTTGAGTGGCAGAGTATTCAAGAAATTTCCACTGCTCACTCTTGAAAAATAAGCCTTATAAAGGCTGAGTAGACCAAATGCCTTCAAAACCTGCAAGCACATAACAGTATTTCTCATTCTTGACTTTATTTAGCAAAAAAAAAATAAATGCTCAACTTAGAAATGAAAGTAGCTCAAGTCTCATTAGCCCAGGTCCTGCAGAAAGTAGTGACGGTCAGGTCAAGTTCCTATATACCAAGAGTGTACAGACAACAGCAGATGAAGCCACACTGGAGGAAAGGAACAAGGTTAACAGAAGTTTTCTCCATCAGAACCAAGTCAAGCCCAGACAGCTCTGGAGAAATGTCTTTTGCAGTAAGAAAACACAGCTACTCTCTCCTTCCAGCAACAGCAAAATCCCAATTGCAGAGGACAGGCTTTTGGTTTTCTAAAAATTAAACTGTAGCCAAAGCCCAAACAAAACTAGGATTTGAAGCATTATCTACAGAAACTGGTTAGACTCAAAGAACCAATACAGACAGAAGGCAGGAGGGAGCTTTGCTGTATCAGAACACTCGTCTTCAACAGACCCATGGACAAAACAAGCAGCTTCCTTAATTTGTCGAGACTTGGAATGAGAAGGTGATGGGAAAGCAAAACAAAATGGGGGAGTCAGAAGTGGAAAGGGCATTTGTCACTGAAGAAAAAGACAAAACAAAAGAAAGGAAGCTTTTGTTCTTTAATATAATTACCTCAGTAGTATATGTAAGTAAAAAAATAATAATAATAAAAAATCAACAGCTTGAAAGCTAGAAAATGCCCCAAAAACCCCACACTAAAACCGTCTGAGCAGATTTTACTAAAATCTTTTGGGCATAAGATTACAATTAATTGTAAGATTCCCTGCAGCCCAAACCCACCAAGATTTGGCTCACATATTTTTACTACATGCCATTTCAACATTTTCCCATCCATAATACAATTTACATACAAATCATAATATTTTTGTTTTCAAAATATCCCTATACAATAAAATGGTATTATCCTTACTAAATGAAGAAGCTGCATTTGGGTTGTCTTTCTGAAGCAGCCAACAGCTCATTAGAAGATTCATAGTGTATCTGCTTATCATTCTACAAATCAAGCTAAGGGCTCAGGTACCCGCAGACAACACAGCAGCCACATGTGAAAATACTGTGGGGCAACTCAACCATTGTGCATGCTTTGGCAGGGACAAGTCCAACAATTCCTAGCAGCCTTAATTGGGTGCTGTCCCTTCTGTAATCCTTCTGCTGAGGGGTGTGAGAGCTCTGGCTCTCAGATCACTCAGTGCAATCACCAGGGAACTCAAGATCTTCAGCTCCTAACATCAAAGACAGGTCAGTACTACCAGGAAGGCTAGCACCAAATGTTGAACTGTAGTGAAAACACAGTTGAAAAGCATCAGATACAAGGATAAAGGGCCAAAAAACAGGTAGAATTGAGCGGTTTACTAGTTTGGGACCCACTGGACCCACCCCTCTTCAGCCTCTGGGCTCCTTCCCAAAAATAAGAGGATACTGCATCATCTTTCTCTACTAGACTCCTAAGCACTTCAGTACCTACAAAGACACTCAAGGCCTCTCATCTCATCCCATTGAGCTGCTAAATGGCTTTCCTTGTCCCTCATCATGGCCACCACACTTTGTTGAGGGAACTCTCTGCTGGCTTCCTCTCCTGTGTTGCATTCAGAGAAGTTCCTCCCTAGAAGTTCTGAATGTTTCAAACTTGAATTGAAAGCAAGACACTTGTAAGTGGATGAAATTGCAGCTGAACAGGAGAAAATCCCAGAATAAAAATCAGATCTGCAGAGGATATATGTAACAGGTGAATTTACTCCAATAGGCAGTATTACCCAGAAAGAAGATACAAGTGAAAAAGAAATTACAGGGCAAAGCAGTGCTCAGAGAAAATCCTTGAAAAGGAGGTACCCTGGAAACAGGTAATGATTTGGGAGAAGAAGAGCAGGGAACACTAAAAAGAAACGGAAGAAAGCTAAGCCAGCACATGTGCAAGAGGAATACCCTTGGCCACGTCAGAGAAGACAAGATGGGGAAAGCAGAAACCATGCCCTACTTCTGCTGGTGCCCAAAGCATCAAGCCAGGCAAAAGCAGGGGAGCCAAAATGAAAAGGCAGCTCTGTCAGGGCCAGCCCAAAGAAGAAGCTGCACCAACTGGAACAGCGAGTCAGGGTGGATGCACCACACTCACATGGTGAGAGGGAAGAGTCAGGCTGGAGCAAGGAAAAGGTGAAGAATTAAGAAATTTATGACCCTATCATTTAGCCCTTTGTACCAATCTTGACTAAGGAAAAAAGCATTAATTTATTCAGCTCTCTATCATCTAAATTCTGGTCTTTATCTATGCTGCCATCTTATTAATCAAGGATGGAATTCCACATAACTAAAACATTTCCTTCTTGATGTAACTTAATGGGGGAAAAGCCCTTTTCTGAACTCCTGGTGTTTTGGAAAACAAGTTTTGGCTATCGATTGAGGACTGCACAATCACAGACTTTATATGGGCAAAGAGCATGTTAGGAACAGCCTTGAGTTGAAGCAAGAAACTGAGGCCATATATTGATCATGTCCAAACAGCACCACTGCCTGGGTCAGAATGCTACCTGAGGGCTTGTCACCGCTCCCTTAAAGGGGAACCATTTCTCCCAGATTTTCTTCAGCTCAGGTCAATCCTTAATCGAGATGTGCAGCCCTATAAACAGTTGCAATTTTCCTGCGGTTTGGGGGAAAAGCATCATTAACTTCAATTATCCAACAAACTGGGACTAAGACCCCGTTCTCCAGGGGTGGTAGAGCAGCCACAGACTTGCCCTCAGCATGCAAGACTAAAGGAAGGAACCACATGGAACCAACCCATCACCAACCTGTAGACTGGCAAGGGAAAGACCATCTTTTCTGTTTTGTCAGCAGCTTAGTACTGTGGAAGTCAGAAGACCATCCTCTGAGCAGACACAAAACGTAATCGAATAACATTAAGCCTTTAAGTGGCTTTCACTCACAATTAGCAGGTAATATTATAGGTACAGAAGTTGCCATCACCAAAACTAATTTCCCTGGATGGCTTTAGGGACAATGTTTGCTTTAACAACCTCATTTTTTCTTAAATTCTTTTTCAAGCATGCTATTTAGGACCTGACCAGTCTATTAAAGCTCTCAGAAGCATCTGCTTCAGACACAAGTCAGAACTTGATTCTGCCAGAGATTTGTGTTAAAATGCATAAGACAACATTTCAGGTGAAGAAAAGCTAAGGCAGGTCTGTCATTACTGTGGCTCACTACTTGGGCCACGAGCTCCATCATTCTACAACACACAGCTATCTAACATATACCTAGGCAAAAAGCTGAGGCTTTCAAAGATCCAAACTCCCATGTTTTCCAGACTCTGCTCAACTTCAGGATTTACAGGAAATTGCCACTTCAAGGCTCATCCCTTATTCACAGGCACTTAAGATCAATGTTAAAGGCAACGTTAAATCCCTGTGCTCCATTACAGAATTCTGTCAGCTTGTACCACATGGCAACCTCACCAAGATGTTCTGCTGTTTTGCATAGAGATCAACTGATTCTTAGCATCCCAAGTCTAGGCAATGACTGCATCCAGGTCTGCCCATCTAATCTTTCCTACAGACAAAACATTCAAGATTTGAACTGTCACTGCAATTTAATGCTTTGGGGCTGCTGCTTGCTTTGGCTTTTTATTAACTTTGGAAACCTCAATCTCAGGAAGAAGATACCACTGTTCCTTTCTGCACACAGCTATTTATTTTGAAATGGCCTACTGCTTGTTGAGAGATGTTTAGGTTGAGAAGTACCCTTTCCTTCCAAGGTAGTTCTGTTGCTACTGTAGGTTTGAAATGGCCTTCTTAACCTAGAAATTGGCTGAAAACTTTGAGAACCAAAGAACACAATGGAAATCCAACATGAGCAAATTTGAGAGCAAGGAATTGGGTTCTCCTAAACCAAACCTGGAGCAAGAATTTAACAGCAGTGCTCTACCATGCAACAGCAACCTTACATCAAGGTGGTAAAACTTCACCTTCCACAAGCAAGAAAACATTCCACAGGCAGCTATTAGAGCAAGCTAATTTCAGTGCCAGTAACTGTGTTTTTAAAACAACAGGCTGAATAATTTATGTTGATTTTCTCCAATTCCTGAAATATTGAAGATTCAGACCTGTATGCAGGCTACCTTTTAAGTACAATGGTAAACAGGAAGACTCAGGTGGTCACACTACCAGTCTGTTTTATGTTAATCATTGGCTAAAGCAGATCACACTGATTAAAGGACACAGACATAATTAAGGCTGGCCAACATGGATTTATGGAAGACATTCAAACAAAATATACTTCTGTAAGAGCAGACATTCCATTGCCCAAGCTAGTAGGTGAAATAAATTTTAACTTCTGTAGGACACTGCCATTAAGTAGAGTGCTAAAAAGCACAAAATCATCTAGAACCTCATGAAAAGTCTCCAATATCATAACCTATTTTTTCTTTTAACCTCATCTTCTAAAGAATCTACAAGCAACAATCTCAGAA